TTCAGAATGAATTGATGGTATTATTTTTAAATTATCGTTTAATTATTTTGATATTTTGACCAGCTGCTTTTTAATTGCAATGGATTTTTGCATAATTAACGACCTTTCTGTGATTACTTTGGTCGGAGTTGCCTCGCACCTGGTTATTAGCCTTTTTGTGGTCCTATATTTCATGCTTATTTCATCGGTACTATTGAAAGGAATTGCGATTCATCGGGCATCTCCCTTAACTTCTGACCCGACTTCTCGTACAAGTGATGGCAGCAGTGTACATCTCCCCCACTGTTATCATCCGCAGTATTTGTCCGGCACTTAATTCTGTACATTTTCCAACAGAACTGGATATTGAATTCTAATAATTACATATAATGATTTTCCATATCACGTTTTAACTCCTCTTCTTTCTTTCCTTTCTCACTTTATCTGCTCCTTCACTTATATCTCTTTCTTTCGCTTATCCTTTTTGTAAATTATTTACATGACTGTTCAGAATATGGCGGGTGCCAGCCTGTACTGGTGATTCCCGCTCCTACCCGCATGCACAGTTCGGTCTGTGTTTACAGCTAAGGAATGAAACACAGACGGCATCATAAAATATCTTCATACACGTGACATTCAAGTCAAATCCTTCTATTCTTCTATTTCATGATTACTAAAACTCAAAAAATGTTAGAGATAGTTGACCATGTATGTTCATCGTCGCTGACATTGTGTTAAAATTGCAGATTCTTCTGGGATTGGACTTTCTTCACTCAAATCACGTTATTCATCGAGATTTGAAGCCGCAAAACATACTGATTAATCGTGATCAAACAATCAAAATTGCGGATTTTGGCTTAGCCCGTTATTACTCAATGCAGTCTTCTTTCACAACATTGGTATGGAATTGTTATGAATCACTACAAAAAAGCAGTACGGGCCTGAAAGGGCCTTGTGAGGAAAAGAAGAACGGGGCCGGAATACCAGCCACGTAGCTAAGAACTTAAAAGCACCAATAGAATTATGCGAGTCTAGTAATTTGCTTTGAGTTTTGCACAATGGTTATTTTCGTTTTTTTCCCCTGTATGATATGGTAGAAATATTTCCCCAGGAAACTTTCTGTTTTGCCGAAAGTTCTTTCCCAGGAAGCTATTCTTTAAGGTTGTAACTTTATGGTACAGAAGTCCAGAGGTGCTGCTACAATGTTCATACAATTGTGGTGTTGATGTTTGGGCAGCTGGCTGTATCATTGCTGAACTGTACACACGTCAGCCACTTTTCCCCGGTCAAACTGAAGCACAGCAGTTGAGCATCATCTTCCAGTATGTTTTCTTCTACTTTTCTCATAAAGTTAGCCAAAATTGCGGTGCTGCTGCACGTTCTACATCATTATAATAATTTTGTTAAAATTCTTACCATTATAATAATTTTTTACCAATTTTTTACCATTTCTTACCATTACAATAATTCTTACCAATTTTTTACCATTTCTTACCATTATAATAATTCTTACTAATTTTTTACCATTTCTTACCATTATAATAATTTTATTAAAATAAAAGTTTCACTAATTTTACTAATTTCTTAATTTTTATTTCGGATTTCCCTCTTCTGTTTCCCTTCTTATTTCAAATTACCTTTCTCTGATGTCGTCGTAACGAATGTCTCTTTGTGTTGCGCACCCACACGCTGTTCATTCAGACTGGCTTATTGCACAGTAAATAACAGCCGATTATCCAGTAA